CGGATGCGCGCAACGAATAACGTGAGGATAAGCCGGGTGTAGTCAATTCAATAACCCCGTTAGGGTCATTAATCCTAGTTTCGGACACACAACACACAGCAACACCCAGTGTGTTCAAGGTGCGTGCAAGTGCAACCTGCTGACCAGTTTGTCTTAGAATGCGAACGTTGAGTGTCGCCATGGAAACGGGACAGCGTGGTCTTATAAGGGACTTTTGCCGATAGGCGTCCGAGAGGTGTAGTGGAATGGTGGCTGCAAATGGTTCTACTCCAGTAGCACTTCGGTTGTTGTCAATTAAGCTGGGAATTATAGAAGGAAGGTTAGTAATGGGGGGCGGGATGGGAGTAAGAGAAAATGGTGGAAAAGAAAGAAGGGAGGCGCCAGCAGTAGCGTGTTTTCGCTTATCCGCCCTGCTGTATGCAGCAGATAAGACGACCCTTGATAATCTGCGCGACGGCCGATAAGAATGAAGTTTATGCTGGAATAGTAATGTCATGGTTGTATGTGGGCTGAGATACTGCCAGGGCGCCCAGAGCTAGACAGGAGGACGATTAGGGTCCTCATCCAAAGCTTTTGGCCCAAAAGCCTGTCCGCAAGGCAGCGGCGTGGCAGTGATTTAGTTTTACAAAAATGGACGCCATCCCATTTCAAACCCCCAACCTGGAGGACCAGGAGACTGAGTTTGTCTGACCTCTCACCATTGACCAACCTGGTAGGAGTATCTCTCAAGATGCTCGGAGGCATCACCCAGTATAGCTCAATGGGTCAATGAGGTACGCAAACCGTCGCACCACGTTAAGATCCAGTCTCGTTGCGACGGTCGCTACATTAGCATAATGTAATAAATCGGCTATCAACGAATACTCGACAATTTCAAGATGTAAGAATGAGAGCTGAAAAATTTCAACGGACGCTGAACAATTATTGAAGTTAGCCACCTTCCGTTTAATCGACGTGTGCAAGTAAATAGAGGATTCTTCAGGTAGACATTGAAATGAGGTAACAAGCTAAGTATTAGGACAAATTAACGGTCACACCACCATGATTGCGGCCAGATATTTTCAAGAGTTACACGAAACTCACCCGGGGATCACGGAAATGAGAAGACTTGCGAGATCCTATGTGTGGTGGCCCAAACTTGTCAGCAACGTTGCGGAGTTAATTCGGAACTACGCCGCCTGTCAAAGCACACCAAAAAGCATACCTTCGGTACCGCAACCCATGGAAATGTCCCAGTTAACCATGGATGCGTGCACCCACTGATTTCTTTGGCCTGCCTACGGAAAGATGTTTCTTTTCTTGCTCGAAATCGAAATAATAATGTATCAGTTTTACGCCGTAACGGCACTTCGCTGCCGCGCGACTATCACCAGTCACACGCGGGCTGTGTATACCGCGAGGACGCCCACTCCCACACGGATCCGAACCGGTGACCATATGATTGCAAACCAGGCGCGCAGACCACTCGGCCACCGGCCGACGTCTACTCGGAATGGATCTGGGTTTTTTGCTAACACGAACCACGTCAGATACTACAGTTCCCTGCATGGAACTTGCTTCATAAACTTTCGATATACCACACATGCTGGTGACGGACAATAGATCCGTGTTTACCAATCAAGCATTTCGGGAGTTTCTACGAAACTACGGTGTACCTCATATGCAGACAGCCCCTTACCACCCGCTCCGCTTAAAGCAGCGGATCTGAAGAGGCTAGTTACGTTCGACCACCGGTGCCTTCGTAATTTAGCTCACATCTGGTGGGAACACCGCGTGAGCAACGAGCGTGTTCGACGCCTTGTTTATGGCACAGGAAAAGGAACTGAACCGCTCAGCACCGTCATTTCACGCACCAAGCTCCGATGGCTCGGCCACGTGTTACGCATGCCGGCCCACCGACTCACGCGACGTGCGTTGTTTACGCGCCGGGGGTGTGGATGGAAGAAGAGGAGGGGTGGCCAAGCGATGACTTGGTCGAGAGGAATGAAGGCCCTCACTTCTGAGCTGGCCTCGGTTCAAGCGTATCGGCTCCCTGGTTGGGGTCCGAAAGACGATGAACACGTTTGGTTGGACACACTTGCTGATATGGCTAGGAGCCGACCTCAGTGGCCTTCGTGCTGTGAGTTTCTTTGTCCCACCTCATCCCTCTTAGCCTCCCCCTCCAACCACGATCTCATTATTTAGCCTTATATAATTTTGCGTAGTATTTATTTGATGCACAGTAGCCGGCTGGTAGCTTACCGGAACGATGCCCATCTGTTACCGGTAGCTCATTCGACTTACACCAGTTGCATTTTTCTCCTTTTTTCTGTATATTGCGGCACAGTAGCTGAGGTGTTCCCCACCTCTAGCTAACATGTATGATGATGATGATTACCACCCAGCTTCTAATAGATTAGCTGAAAGATCGATCTAAACGGTTACGAGAATAACTACCGACTCCATTGCGAAGTTAAACAAATTTCTTTTTGATTATCGCTCCACGCCAAATGAGACGACTCGTAAGAGCCCCGGCGAACTGATGTTCGTACGGAGATTAGAGACACAACTAGACTTGCCATTTCCCGCTCAGAGGCTACATGTCGAGGTTAAACGAGATAAGTCTAAGGCTGAGTGTGACCCGAGGGCGGACGATGGACAAGTCTTTGAGAACGAATCGGTTTGTGTCAATTTGCCTAATGAAACGAACTGACAGCCTGGAGAAATGCGCAGAGTTGCGGAACTTAATATTTAACTGGCCCTACCAGACGGCAGGGTAGTCATTCGACACTTCCCAAATCATAAGACAAATATATCTCAAAAACCATTTGTGCCTCTAAAAATGCAGCGTTTTCGACAGGCAAAACAGCTGTGACTATGTAGTTTAATATAAATGACTTAGGGAGGAGTTTGTGCTACCAGAAAGTACTAAATACAAGAAGACGCTCTCGTTGTCATTGGACAACTCCAACGGAAAACGCGCTCTCATTGCTTGGCTCCTGGTCAACGAGCATTTTATTTTGATTAATCCGGGCTCCCGTTGATGCTACTGGCATGGAACCATGCTTGAGTGGCTTCTATGAACGGTCTCCGTTAGCAATGTTCGTAACCAGGGCTAATGACCCTCATGTGGTTGTTGAACTAACCTGATCCGGCTGGTCCTCACTTTTGGCTACGCGCATCCAGAGACGTTGATGCGACAGTCATTGGTCAGTTCGGGTAGTTATCGTTCTCAGCTCCAAGCCTTGACCATCGTTAGTTGATTGGATTTCGGTGAACCTCCTTTTGTGTACAACATCAAGTAAGTTTAGTTACCGAAGTGACACTAAGTGGTATTCGTTTGTGGTTGCCGCTTACGCTGCCACCGGCTGCAGTTCTGATTCTGTCAAGGACATCTGCCACGAACTGAACACGCTGCTTCGCGGCGTCACCAGTCCAGTATCGTTATTGTTGCATGTGATATGGATGCGAATCTGATTACCTGAGTTCATCAAAACCCATATAAGTGGTACTTATTCCAAACGGGCAGATAACGATAAGCGTCTGTTGCAACTTTTCGCAAAGTACCGGTTGTTTCTTAATAGCATCGCTTTTAGGCACAATAGGCACCGAAGTGCCATTTGGCGTCTCCCTATCGCTAGTCAACAATAGACTCAAATAGATCACGCCGTAAATTATAGTTGGGTTTTTCCATTCTGGACTGTCAGTAGTTCTAAAATACTTGCCTTAACCCTGGTGATCCTTTGGTACACTCGCTTTACCATAAATTTTACCAAGCGTCTTCCTCGATTAATAAATGGGAAGTTTTTTCTGCTCTCTGTCAAGTAAGCCTACAGGGATGCCCTGAGTTCCGAACTTTCACTTCCTTCAGTCTAAGAACATGAAGCTTCAGTGGAATAAGATCTCGGCCTGCATGCACTATTACTTGTCATCGCACCAACCCCATCCATCACTGGTAGAGACGCCGCTATCCAAACTTATTAGCAGTTGGAGGAGTTTGCAACGCTGCGATGCAACCGGTTTCACTGTATGTTTAAGACAACTTGCTCCTGTGCGCCGAAGTCACTAAGCGAGAGGTCACATTCTACCACCAGTCTAGATGCATACCGTTACATTGAAGTTGGTGTTCTCGTGTCTTCCACCAAACCAACCACATCTTTCCACCTGTGATATGTACAATAGACAGACCTACCTGTTTCTTTGCATCTCATGCCCTTTTTATTTCTTTATTGCGCACGATATTAGTGTGTCAATAAATCCGTAGACAGTTGGATACACTGTACTTTTGCTCATGCTACATCGTATTTAGTAAAAACGATGGGCTCCTAATTTTTCATTTACCATGCTTGCTTTAACCAATTTTATAAGATATATTCGACGTCTTTTGAACATCGAGTATGCTGACGACCCGTTCACGATACCTGCTTCTCACCACAGAGTGAATCATGTGCATTTATTCTATGCCTTTGAGCCTTTCGCTCCTCTGACAGATGATACTTAATGGTAGGACTTCACGTCGCAACTAATTCGGTATGTTGGTAGCTGGGGTTTGCTGTTCAGTCGTTGGGTTGTTCGCCGAGCTGTGGAATTCGATTGCAAACATTTCTTTACCAGTTGAGTTGACATCACCAGTGCTGGAGGTGGTTTCGTAAAAAATCTCGGATTTGCCTTTTGTCAGTATCTTTTACGAAACCGCTAACCCTGTTGCACTGATAATGTCACCTCGACTAGTGACGAAACATCTGCGGTCAGTTTGCCTAGCTCGGCACTCAATGTACCACGTCGTGGCTTAAGACTCATCACGCCTTTTGTAAGCGTTCTGTGCTCGAAGAGGTACAATTATGTAATTTATTGCCTATTTTTTGCTTGATTCCCTTAAACCATGCTTTTATAGCTGTGGTCCATGCTTAATCCCCTTTTAACTCGGCGTCTCTTCGGTTTTGGATACTCTGTATTCCTTTTCCCATCTATTTTCTCATTTTTTTTCATGCAAACGTTTTTATATGTTTCCTTGATTTCAGTTGCAACGTTAACGGTGAATCCAGTTCTTCTTCCGAAATGTATTTGGTTTGCGTTTCTACAAATTCCACGGGAACAGCATCAAGTTTACACACTCTACCTCTGAAAACCGGCGCAAAAACCGACGAAAAAACGAGATGGATTACTGTCAAGTCTGATCAGGTAACTGTGCACTTATTGACACGATTATCGATTCCTCAACTGAGCCTTTTCAGACTGCAACCATGTGGCACAAGCCAACTCTTCAGTAGCACACGATAACTACGGTTCGCCTGTCGATTGCGTTATAAAACTCTCTCTTTTGCGCAACAACTCTTTCTTTCCTTGACTGGGAATTGTTCCGCGCAAACTCATAGCTGACCAACTTCTGGGACTTGTTCAAATTTACAGTACATTCCATCTTTTAGGATTTAATTTTTAACTGTCAGATGCGATAACGAACCCACTGTTAAATTCTCATTTCTTTGCTGCCTTGAGGTCCATACCACGAACTCAGGCATTTACCAGCCATTGTCGGTTGATTTACCTTGCTTTCCTGTTGGCTGTACCTGGATCCACGGCCACCATAAGACCACTGAGTCGCCATTTCATCTTTTAAAATCCATCAATGATGCACCATACCTTGTCTCTTCACCCAACTGTTTTATCTTATCTACTGCTGGATGTTAGTGGTTCTGTTGACTAAGTAACAAGTTTTGATCCATCACGACACACCATCTCCAAATGTGATGGAGTCCTCTACCGTAGCGGACACGGATGGTATACCATGTAAATGTTGATGGTCTCAACCCACGTCATGATGACATACGTTGGTCTGTGCTTGATGCACCCTGCTACTCCCGACAATTTCGTTCGGCATTATGGAATCGTTGCTCGATCTAGTGAGTACAGTGCACTCATCTCATTTTTCTACCCATTTGTAAACTAAACATTTCTGATGATGCGCCTTTGGTACATTTACAGTTGATAATGTAAAATGCCGAAAATGCACCCATTTGGGTACATGAAGCTTATACTTACCTTACCTGAATGAAGTCCTTGAGATCGGTCAGATATGGGACTAAAATTCTTTTTTGACATCGCACTTGCGCCTTGTTAACTTTTTTTCCTGATGACCATATTTTAACTTTTTTCCTATCCCTCCCTCCGCTTTTGTTGTCCATATTTAGTATCAGCGTTTTTTATTTTGTTCTACTCGCCTCTGATTCTTTTCGAATACATAGCGATGCAACTCATTGCGGTTGGCTTCATGACACTTCGATGAACTTCCAATTAATCCCATCTGAGCATTGTGACCGTTCGGTGCGTTAGTTCTACTTTTATTTCTTACTTTCATTTGTGTATTTATCTTCTCAAATCACAACAGATATATCCACGAATGCGATCACTTGACGGATCGGCATTTGTGCTCAGCTCGACTTCCGGTGTATCTGAAGTTTTCTCAGTCACTTCCAGCGGCTTGCCTGTGCGAAAGTACCTTATACACAACGTGAGTTCACTCACTGGAAGCATTTTTTGACCCTCGCCGGTGAATCATTATAGGATATTTAGGACTTGCAGATTCATTTTCGAGATGCAATTTCCCCTATTTATGAATTAACGCGGCTCGTTCTGAGGCTACTGCTTGCATTTTTCCTTTACATGCAATAAGGCAGTGTTATCTCTTACCCCTTGTGTGATTCCGATTGGTCTTATCTCGTTCTGTGCTAATATGCAACCCAGCCAGTATCGGTATCGTGTTGCCCAGTCTGCTACCGAAACAAGCACAGGTAATGCGAAAGCCAGCAGACAGACCTTAGATAGTTGATGATGCGGTTAATAAGTGACTTATAAGACTGGTAAATCAAATTGGAGGGTCATTTTGTAATATTCGATATGTGATTGGATTGTGGCGCGCAACCTAAAGGTGGATCTTGATTACCATCGAAGTGACCTTTATCCATTTCGATCATTAGGGCCGTTATAATGCGAATCACAGTCCACTTTGAGATTGCGCATCGCAATCCAATCGCACATTGGGTATATATATATATATATATATATATATATATATATATATATATATATATATATATATATATATATATATGGTGCGCTGAGGCTGGCGGTGGCTAGATCCTGACAGATGGTCTGCCCACTGCTGCTACTGTTGTGCCATTTGCTCGTGTTTTGGGCGCGTCCTGTGGCGACCGCTGGGTGGGAGTTGGGTTTCGCCCTTCTCCCTGCTAAGATCCAGGACACCAATCCGCATGAGTCAGCGAACTGACCATGTGCTAGACCCGCTGCATTTCGGGTGTTCATTTGATCGAAGCCTTTGGCTGAGGACCCGAGTCGTTCTCCTGTCAGGAGTGGGCGCCCTGCCAGTATCCATCCTCTTCGGAGGTTAGGAAGTGCTCGATGGCCCTCTTCCCGTAAAACCTAGCCATGGGAGACAACAGGTCTACGGGATATAAGCTCACAGCTCGATTGGCGTAGAGCACGAGCGCCACGCATATTCTCTGACGGTGGGAGGGTACCTCCGAGTGTTCAATGGTTTGCTACTGCCCGCCTCAAGCCAAGCAGCCCCTGGGCAAATTGGTGCAAACCCGCCAAAACCCACCTGCATCTGGCCGTGGTCGCAGGTGTATCCTACTACGGTCGCAAAACATATACATCGTTCCAGTACCTAAAAGCTTGCGTGTGACGGCCGTCAAGCCGATCCCAATCTGTCTCTGCAATCCCACTCCCGAGCTGGATCCGCTCCCCACTGCCATGTGGGTCAGGCTATTGAACCAAAGGCTCCGGGTGGAGTCCCTCAAGCAAACCTCCAAACCACCCACTGCCTTGTGGGTCAGACTATTGAGCCAAAGGCTCCGGGTGATGTCCCTCAAACAAACCTCCGAAGCACAACGACCAGCTCGCGTGCGATTGCCCACCAACGCAATCGTATGCATGCGCGCAAATCACTCAGCATCCGGTGCTGGAACGTGCGCACACTACTGGACCGGAACTCGAGTGAGCACACCGAGCGACGCACTGCACTCTTCGCAGTGGAACTGGCGCGCTACAACATCGATATTGCGGCGCTCAGTGAAACCCGGCTCGTTGAGTAAGTTAAGTTGCATGAAGCAGGTGCTGGCTACACGTTCTACTGGGTGGGCAACGCCGCCTCAGCACCACGTGAGCATGAAGTCGGATTTGCAATATCCGATCACCTAAATGGCCAGCTCGTGGGTGAACCAACAGGCATCAGCGCGCGACTGATGACTGTTCGCCTACGACTCGGAAGAGGTAAGTTTGCCACCTTTCATAAGCACGTACGGTCCGACCATGTGTTATCCTGATGACACGCTTGATCAATTCTACACTCAGCTATCCTCCGTGAAACGGTCTGTGCCTAGGAACGACCGACTATTTCTGCAGGGTGATTTCAACGCGCGCATTGGGCGTGATGCATCGGTGTGGACAGATGTTATCGGTCCGCATGGCATTGGTTCAGCAAATGTGAACGGTGACAGACTGCTCTCACTGTGTGCCACTCACGGCCTGACGATCACGAACACTCGGTTTGCACTGAGTGCGAGTGATATAGCAACTTGAACTCAACCACGGAGTGGTCACGCTCACCTGCTCGACTATGTCATCGTACGTCAGCGTGATATGCATGAAGTGCGCATGACATGTGTACTGCGTGGAGCTGAGTGTGGCACGGATCACAAATTGGTGCGGGCCAAACTACACATATGTTCGTAAATCTATGTATTTCGCTCGTGTCCTTCAATCGGCGTAAACTTAACATTCTCTCCCTCGGTACTGTGGCGAAACGTATTGAGCTGGAAAAGGCGATGGCTGCACGCCTGTGTGATGTGGAATGCATAGCCACAGTGGGCGACCTGTGGCATCACATTTGCGACCAAGTGACAGCTGCTGCCGAAGAGACCATCGGGCGCACAGACTGTAAGTGGCCTGATTGGTTTGATGAGAGCAATGCGACGATTGACGCATTGGTGTTTGAGACGAATCCAGCATTTCGTTCACATGTCGCAGACCTCAGTGACTGGGGAAAAGAATAGTAAGTTACCCACACTTCAACAAAGACTGACCCGAGAGCTCCGGCGCATAAAAAATGCATGGTGGACGGAGAAGGTAAAGCAGATGGAACGTTACGCCGAACACTGCCAACAAAAGGAATTTTTGACTCCTTGAAGGTGGTGTATAAACCGAGACTGGAGCCGCTGAGGACGCTAATCGATTGTAGTTCAGGCGCTACCTGCACACAGACTGCAGACATAATGCAGGTCTAGCGAAAACACGTTGACTGTCACTTGAACAACCGTTCAGAGATCGACTGGCCTACTTTCAATTGCTTAAAGCGACACGATGTGAAGACGAGTGCGACGGACGCGCCGACACTGGATGAGATGCTGACAGCAACTGCTCAGCTGCGAAACGGTAAGTATGGCGGTACAGACGGGATTCAGCCTGAAGTATTGAAATACGGTGGACCCGCGTTCGTAAATGCATTGCACCATTTGGTGCAACACGTATGGATTGAGGAGGAGATGCCTCTTGAGCTGAAGGATACCCTTGTGCTACCACTGTACAAGGGCAGAAGAAGAAAGCAATGTGCCACGAATTATCCGGGCATCAACTTTTTGAGCTGTGTGGGCAAAGTGGTTGGCCGAATCCTGCTCGGCCGCCTCGTCAGTCAGGTTTTGGAAGCGAACATGCCGGAACAGCAATGCGGATTCCGTTCGGGTCGCAACACCATAGATATGGTGTTTGCGGATTGTCGGTTACAGGAGAAGTGCAGAGAACGACACTAGCCATTGTACTCGCTTTTTGTTGATTTCACCAAGGCATTTGATACGGTGAACCGCGAGGCATTGTGGCTGGTGTTGGGTAAGTTTGGTTGCCCGAGTAAGTTTGTAAGTTTAATTGTATGTCTGCACAGTGGTATGTGAGCGAGGGTGCAGCTGAGTGGAGAGACCTCGGATGACTTTGCAGTTGTTTCTGGTGTGAAATAAGGCGGTGTCTTCGTTCCTGCCCTGTATAATATTTATCTTCATGCAATGATGTGTGTTTTTGTTGCGAACTGTGCTTACGGTGTTCGTGTGGAGCACACTATTGATAGTTGGTTGCTGAACATCCGTCGTTTCGATGCGAGAACTCTTGTCTGTGAGACGACTATCCGTATGTTGCTGTTTGCCGACGACTGTGCGTTGTTTGTACACAGCGCGGATGAGTTGCAGGACATGACTAGTGCTTTGGTTTTGACAGCGGTCAAACTCGGGCTCACCATCAACACAAGCAAAACTGTCTGTCTCTTTCAGCCGTCACCGGAGGTGTAATCTATAATATTGCCGCGAATCTGCATTGGTGCTGAAGTATTGGAAACCACGTCCCGCTTCTACTACCTTGGGAGTGTGATGTCGGCTGACCAGCAGCTTCACAGTGAGCTACGTATCCGCGACTCGAAGGTAATGGCGGCATTCGGAAAGCTAGAGTATCGAGTGTGGAACAACCATCAGCTTATTGTTGGCACGAAGCTGATGGTGTACAAATTCATGATGCAGCCCGTTCTTGTATATGACAGTGAAACGTGGACGATGTACAGGCTGGATGTGCGATATCTAGAGCGGTTCCATCATCTGTGTTTGCGACGAATTTTGCGCCACACATGACCGAGCCACCTCAGCAAAAGTATGCAGTCCACTGCATACATCAAACATCGGCGCAAAACTTCCCTGTCCGCAACTCTGTCGCCCCAACAGATGCGCGAAATTCGTCGCAGACACTGCTGATGGAACCGCTCTAGATATCGCACATCCAGCCTGTACATCATCCACGTTTCACTGCCGTATAGAAGAACCGACAGCTCCATGGATTTGTACACCATCAGCTTCGTGCCAACAATAAGCTGATGGTTGTTCCACACTCGGTACTCTAGCTTCCCGAATGCCGCCGCTGCCTTCGACATGTGGATACGAAGCTCACTGTGAAGCTGCTGGTCAGCCGACATCACACTCCCAAGGTAGTAGAAGCGGGACGTGGTTTCCAATACTTCAGCACCAATGCAGATTCGCGGCAATATTAAAGATTACACCTCCGGTGACGGCTGAAAGAGACAGACAGTTTTGCTTGTGTTGATGGTGAGCCCGAGTTTGACCGCTGTCAAAGCCAAAGCACTAGTCATGTCCTGCAACTCATCCGCGCTGTGTACAAACAACGCACAGTCGTCGGCAAACAGCAACATACGGATAGTCGTCTCACAGACAAGAGTTCTCGCACCGAAACGACGGATGTTCAGCAACCAACTATCAATAGTGTGCTCCACACGAACACCGTAAGCACAGTCCGCAACAAAAACACACGACATCATTGCATGAAGATAAATATTATACAGGGCAGGAACGAAGACACAGCCTTATTTCACACCAGAAACAACTGCAAAGTCATCCGAGGTCTCTCCACTCAGCTGCACCCTCGCTCGCATACCACTGTGCAGACATACAATTAAACTTACAAACTTACTCGGGC